GAAGATGCAGTGAGAAGCTTCGCCTTAATAGCAAAACTGTGACCTTAAAGGCATACATTTTTAGCAGGAAACATATACTTAGGTACCGGTGGCTATTTCATAACGTAATGCTGCTGTGAATCACCGGAAACAGTCACGTTTATGTAGGTATATTACACATGCGCGCACATATTAGTATACAGCAGCAGCTTTCGGGTAGTCTAAGTCCATTGTTTTTGCGTATTTAGTAACTTCAATAACATGCTTTGACAATGAAATACATTTTTTTAACCTGATGTTATATAACGTAACTGGGGCTGCAATAAAGAGGCGTCTCTTTTTGTTAGAGCTCTCTGCGATTGGTCTTCTATATTTTCGCTAATGACAGGTCCAGTATCATGGTTGGCAGAGTTATTGTTTAGCGAACTTTTCTACGTAAACTTTATTTCTGAGCTTCAGGGCGGAACGCTTGCTTATCATGTAATCTTCCAAGCGATATAAAATTATAAAGCTCATTTTCACGTCATTTAGTGCCGTAAACATCACTCTTTTTTTTTTTTTGCTGCCAGAAACTTCTAAAAGCCAAAACTCAATCCGCCACCCCTCTTCCTGCTCTGTCGCGTAGCGTATACCCATATCGAATAATGTCAGCCGTCGAAACAAGCCACGCCACTTTTGGAACGCGGCCGATCACTGCACGACAACTGGCGCCGATTTGTACAAATGTACACGCGTTCGAAGGTGCGCCCACGTGTCGTCGTCGCATATAGTATTGCCGGCGGCACGAGATCCTCGTCCCACGCGATTCCTTGGCGCAAGAGGTCGCACGCGTGCGTACATGCTTGCGTCCACCCGTCCGCATAATACATGTACAGTTTGTACTGCGTACACACGCAAAGTGTGTGCTCCGCGCGTAGGCGTACACGACACTTGCCCGCTGATCTCTGAGGCGAGAGCGTCGGGGTGTTCGTGTCATGGCCGGCCCCCTGTACGTCGCATATATAGTTCCGGTCGAGCGAGAGTCTGTCTTTTCTTTCGATGTCTCTCGCTCTCCGTAGCACTCTCTCCCACGTGTATGTACGGCATCACCACATCGGTGAGATGTTGTCATGTTGAGTTAACCTCTTTTGCTCCCTTTATTTATTTTATTTCGGGCTTCTGCCAGAATACGAAGGGAAGAGAAACGTGTGCCACGCCTGCAAGAGGAAAGACGGTGACGCGCGACTGCCTGAAGCGCCAAGCGGAGTAGGAAGTTGTTCGATCGGAGGGAAACACCCGGACCCTGCTAGGCGCATGCATGAGTGAGTTACTACGGGTTCGACCTTTTCCGAACGTGGTACACCGTCGTGACGCAGCTCTGAGAAAGACGTTTCGGCTCTCGGCGCGGCCGTCTTGAGCAACGTCACTTCTCATCCTATACCGGCGTTGACATTGAAACAGCGATTGACACTGAAAAGCCACCCGGGTTACGTGGTTTGTGAGTATTATTTGATTTTCTAAATAAAACAAAATTTTCGAGTGCAGATTCGAGAGTCAGGGGTCACAGTAAAACGCGGTAGCATTAACCATTGTTATCAGCCTAAATTATGCTGCAGAGAAGAAAAAAAAACGTCACAGTGACATTCAACTGCCCATGCCTTGTCGATCCTGCTAACGTCATATACTTTTCACTTTATGAATTCCATCACACGGTCATGTCGTGCTGAAGTGAACTTCCTTTATCGTGACACCGTTCTCGAGCTCTCGTAAGCCCCACGTTAACTTTTTTGAGTACCCATGTTAATTTCCTTGAGTCATTGTATTGACTTACTTGCCCAGTAGCACGTGGTTGCGTTAATCATCATAATCAGCGTATATCTTAAGTTTTCTACAGAGAGCAACGTCCTGTCATAGTGATCAACAGCTAGTGATAATCGACCCCTACATCTTGCGCTGGCTTTCTACACTATATGCCTTTATATTTCGTTGTTTCATTAGCCTATACCTATCAGCTTTACTTCGTTGCATCTCCCTTATACCCGCGACGCACATACTGTTGCTCTTGTACACCATCTTTTCATTTCACTACGCCATTCATTACATGACATGTGCTGCTTTATTGTTTAATCTCACCTAAGATATCTGCTATCCAAATTTGTTCTGCGGTCGATGTGCTGCCTCCAAAACGTTGCGTCCATCATTCCTCGTTGCATTTTCCTCCAGTTTTCCAAGTAATTTTCATCATCCTCCAAGTTTTTCTCTACATCCGCAAGCACCATTACAACAAGCGTACACTCTTTTCGAAATTCAGAATATTTGTCGAGTATGAGGCTGATGGCTGTAATAAAATTCGCGTGCGTTATTTTTGTGCCCATACATACCGTATTGACTCGAATGTAACGTGAGCTTTTGTGCAGTTTTTTTTGCCACCTTGTGTTGGGATTTAATACCAAAATACTAATATTTTTACTATTTTCTCTTTCTGGACGCACCTCTCGTGTTACGATTCTGGTCCCATTACTCTCGAGCAAATACGGTACATTTTCAACCATTTCTCTCGCACAGGTTGCGAGGTTCTTTCGCCGGCGAGATGTGCGGTTCACTTCAGCGACTTCTACAGACATACCGTGTCAGACGCGGACGGTACAGCCTTACGGGCAGACCGCATTCACGTAGAATGAACAGGCCGTAATTGATACTGACGGATATGCGACACGACACGAGCGAGGTCCGTCGTTTTTTACAGGGACAAAAAAGCGCCAGAATATTGCCTTTCGCGGGATCATGCTCATTTTCGTGCGATACGAGTATACGTGCATTTTTTTTTCACGACTCTGCTTCAAGTTTTCATTTGATACCATACAAAGGGGGGCTTCAGCAATATATTCATTATACAATATCGCCACTTTTCTGAAGCATTTCGAAGCGTAAAAGATGGCTACTTTTTTCCCCTGCTTTTTATTGGTGGCGTCTTTTTATTGCGCGCCTGTGAATTCGTATATATTTCGTAGACGTCGTTATTGTCTAGATACCACACACTCGAGGCTACAAACAAACAAACAAACAAACAAACAAACAATACCACATTTTGTTCCAGTTATACGATCTTGTTCCTTTACTCGAAGCGAGCGTTTGCGCCTTTGCTGAATTTATAGTCCAGCCTCTGACAGCACTGAAAGTCTGTTCACGCGAGCGACGATAAAGGTTGAATGGTTTTTCCTGCATTTCTATTTTTGTTTGTATAGCCGTATAGTAACCGTGGACATGCGAAAGTGACAGTGGAAGAGTGTGTGGGAGAGAGAGAGAGAGTGTGCGTGCGTGCGCGCGTGCGTGCGTGCGTGTGTGTGTGCGTGCGTGCGTGTGTGTGCGTGTGTGTGTGTGTGTGTGTGTGTGTGTGTGTGTGTGTGTGTGTGTGTGTGTGTGTGTGTGTGTGTGTGTGTGTGTGTGTGTGTGTGTGTGTGTGTGTGTGTGTGTGTGTGTGTGTGTGTGTGTGTGTGTGTGTGTGTGTGTGTGTGTGTGTGTGTGTGTGTGTGTGTGTGTGTGTGTGTGTGTGTGTGTGTGTGTGTGTGTGTGTGTGTGTGTCACCTACGTATCAAAACATAAAGCGGCCCAGCAACCTCAAGTACCATCCAAAAGAGCTGAATAAGGGGTCAAGAATTTAAATGAAAATAAATGTGGGATAAACACTAACAACAAAACAAATCTTTCTTAGTAAGTGCCTAGTGCTGCGTTCTCATTTTTTACTTCAGTTCTCCGAACTAAAATGTTCTCTTTTCCATTTCGGTTACAACTATGCAACGGCTTGTAAAATACGCAAGCGCAACTACGCGTTAGTTAACGGTTAATTCTGCGAACGTGATCCGACGTTTGGTACATGTCTTGGAAACTCTTTTTCCAATCAGTATACTAGAAACTTGCTGTGCCAGGGCATTTCGTGTTAAACAGCTTCGTTGTCTGCGTATCCTATACGATTGGTAATGCCTATATTATCGATTGATGCGAGCGCCTGGGGTTGTGAGATAAAGGAAGTATCTATTGTAGTGTATATTAGTGTATACAGCCTATAGATGCAAAGCATTTGATGTCCTAGTGACCGTCTGTCCAACTTCTTCATTCTACTTTTCTTTTTGCGATATATAGCTTCTTCGCTGCTACATAAAGAATGTTGAGGATATTTGTTTATATCAGGATTTAATTCTAGGTAATATATGCCATGACAATAACGAGGAAGATAAACTGTTATATTTCATTCTCCTGTCGCACGATCCGAAGCCGATCCGCCATGGTGGGTTGAGGTGCACCTCTAGAACCAAAGTAATCAACTTCATACAATCTATTGTAGGTACTTGTCATAGAAAAGGAGCCACCGAAGAATCTGGACTAACCGTGAATATGTACGCCTTGTATTCGCGATTACTGGGTACCCGTAGCTTCTCCTTAGTGCTGCATAAGGATAGAAAATTGGGCGAGTTGGATTGAGTACGTGGCTAAAATCATGACTTAAATGCGTTTTGTGTCCCCTGTGTGACCATATTATTTATTTATTTGTAAATTTAAGAAAGTAACATGAAAGTCCAGCTGCCTAATTCTTAGCCGATCCGGTAAGTGCCACATTTCAGGGACGTCATCATCGTCCTATCGCCTTTCTTACAATCATTTGATGGCATTACATTAGGTTAAGCTCACAAGGATGTCTGCTCTGCAGTATTAGCTTACAAAACGGAAACAAAAGATTGCCATGTTTGAATATTTTTATTTATTCCCATTATTGGTTCCAAACTCGTCCCAATATCTGTCGTATCTTCTTCGATAGTCGTTTGCTCATTCAGCCTTTTCGTAGGTTATTTAAGTTTTTTTTTTCTAATGTTAAATTAGACAATTCTAGATTCATAGCACTTTACCCTAAAGATTCTTCTGCCACCCGGTTGTTGTCTTATCCCCCTTTGTGGGTGAGCGCCATCAGAGAGAATCATCATCATCATCACCATGATCATCATCATCAGGTCCCACCCGAACGACTTGGGTGCTCCTCCTCCGCTTTATGTGCCTTCGCAGAGTCCGTCTGTCCCCACCAGTGCATACATCGCCACCGCCGACGTCATGACCTCGCGGGTGACCAGCAACGGTAAGTCACCACAAAACTAAAAAAAAACTGGTAGGTAACGTACGAGTAGCACGCTATGTATGCACATATCCGCGTCTCAGGAAATAAATTTCCTCCAAAAAGCCTCCACTATTGCACCACTTGGTGCATGATTGTGAAATTGATGAGTGAAACAGAACATAGTACGGAAAGAAATGTTGTGGACAGGATCCATCCTGTCTACAACGTTCGCCAAAAGAAAGCGTTTTCATACACAATAGAAGACATAATAGTGGGAGTACTATTCGGCAATGTCACAGGCATTTTGTTCCTTGTTGGGCCGCGGGCCCCATGCAGCCTGCGGGCCACGTGTTTGAGGTCCCTGATATAGGCTATAGCCTTTTTTGGTAACAGTGGACAGCGTCGTGTTCTTGCATGCGCGAAGAAACGTCTCCATGCGCTGCACGCGAAATACGGCGCCGAGAATATCCCTTGACAGTCAAGCTTTCCTTCAAAAGGCGCATACTGTAAAATTGCAATACTTAACGACCTTCGACGTCCACTTCTAGATACTGTTCACTCTGTTCCGCGGAACACAAGCGCTACGAACAGACGATAATTTGTTGAACAGACAATGCCACTTGAGCCAAGACCTCAGCAAGTTGACCTGTCTCCACAGCAGTGTAAGCTCATTCAGGGTTTTCTAAACACTGGTCGATGTCACCATGTAGAGCTCAAGCATGGTGTCCCCTGACGTTGACGTTGGATAAGGTGGTATCTCAATGCATCTCTGTACTAATTTATTTTAGCTGTTTCTGTCTCTCTCCATGCTAAATAAACGTGGCGCCCGCGCAGTGATGAGCGCTACCGGGAGGAAACGTCGAGCGGTAGTTAAATTCTCTGCACTTCAGGAAAACCTCCCACTGCATGCCTGAACCTTGTGAATTTGCGATGTAAACGAGGTTCAACGCTACACTCCTAGTAAATGAGTTCGACGAATGTTTTGCGTGCATTATAACTGTGATGAAGTGCGTGTGAGACGTGACCACCTGCATAGCTTTATAATCAGGTCAAACTTTCCATCTGCATGAAATGTTTCCACTCAAAAGTTCGACGAAGTTTCGAGGTATTATGAGGAGGATGCAGATGCGGTCACTTCAACAAATAAAGATGAAAACAGGGAGACGTCTGGGGACCTGCACAGGTTTGCTGATCAGACCTGATCAATAAAGCCGCACCTGATAGCACCTGTTATCAAAGTAACCGTACGGGTCTCGAAACGTCTCTGTGTCTTCTCAATGACTTGGTCATTAACCGCATCTGCATCCTCATGAAAGGTCTCTGTATACATAAACAATAGATCCATACAATAGAACCTGAAACCTCGATCGCCTCTCTTCCTTGAGGCATATGTGATGCCACATATCGGCATATTAACTCTGCTATCACCACAATCCGAATAAAGTATCTCGGTCCACGCAAATACCCAAAGCGTGTTTCGTTTATTTGAGGCACTAAACGTTTCGTGCGTTTGGCATTTCACAGAATCCTCCATGGACGAGGTCGAGGAAGTGTTTCGAGTACTGCGCGGCCAGGAGCGCGTGGTGGGTGTCATAGCGACCACGTCGGACGGGGCGCCGATCAAGTCGACGCTCGAGGACGAAGGCAAGACCGGCCGGTACGCGCAGCTGGCGGCGGGCCTGTGCGACCAGGCCAGGAGCTCCATGAGCGACGCGGGCCCCGGCGAGGAGCCGACGTTCCTGAAGATGAAGACCCGTCACCACGAGGTCGTCATCTCGCCCAGCAAGAGGTACACGCTCATCGTCCTCACCGAGGTGCCGCAGCCGTCCCCCGAGGTCGGGCAGTGAGCGGCTCGTCGACTTTTCCTCACGCGGTGGTTGGGAAACGTGTAACACTCGTGTGAGGTCTCAAGATACCTCCAACGAAATTTGACGAACACTTTACTTCGGATGTGCGCGATCGAAGACACCACTTTGTAAATTGTCACGAAACAGCATTCTAAAGATGGCCCGGCGAATTGTGTTTAACCCATATATGCCCAGCGTCCTACATGTAGGACGCTGAAACGTTTCAGTGTAACCCTTATGTTTATTCTGTAAAAAAGGTAGCGCCACCTAAGGTGTGTTTATAATGCCCTGCCCTATTCACATGCAAATCTAGGCGATCACTGGGCTACAAATAGCCACGTTCTTGCGGTCACAAAATGGCTATTTCGCGTGCATGTAGCTGAGCGCCATACTGTGGAGAAAAATATAAGTATTACAGAGTGAAATTTTTTTCAATTCTGCTGATAGTTCTGTCGAGTGCTCGACAGTTATTGGCAGTGCAGTAACTTTTGTCGTATGACAGTGATAGGCGCTAATGTTTTTTGTTCGCAGTGTGTCAAACATTCGTGACCTACACATTAGACGGCCCCAAAACTATTGTTTGAAAGAGTTGTTTTTTAATGATAACCTTATTCTGTTTTCTGAGGCCGTAGAAGCAGTCATTTTGGGGAAATAAATTGGTTTTGTTAATTTTCCCAAGTTTGGGCATATATAGTTAAACATGCACGCGAAAGAACGCACAATTTGCAAAGAAAGAAAGGAAAATCCAACATGCAGCTTTTCGGGAGTTGACTGTAATATATTTTCTGTGTGGTGACACAGCAGTATACGCCTGGCACCATTGGAGGGGTCGAAACGCAGTTGCTACGAGTACGCTTAGAATTACGAACCATCCGAAGAAGCCCGCTAAATGAGTGGCCACGGCATTGTGTAGTTGGTGAGCACACGTGCGCATCCGTAAATAACGACTCCAGTGATATATTTATAACATTTCAAGTGAGATTTCAACATATTGTAAGCGTCGTATGGCCCGTTGCGAGGTCTATAGAGGTTACGCTGCATACGTTTTATAGGGAGACGTATCTGTTGCACGTGCCACACTCACACTGCATCCTCGACCGAGAAATCCCAAGCTTAGGGGAAGTGAGAAGTCTGAGAGCGATGCGATTGGATGGCACGTTTGGGTATTCACATTCTACTGCGTAAGGAGTCGAAGTCGCACGTTTGCGAGGGCGTTCGAGTAGGGCTCTTATTCTCCCCAAAACCAGATATTTTAACACTTACATACAATGTCCTTCGTACTTAACATGACAGGTGTGGGAAAACCCTGATATGTTTTTTTTTTTGTTTATCACTAGTGCTTGTCTCAAAGTGCCGGACCTTTTCTAGCCGCAACATCGCGGCGTTACGAATGACCCAGGTTTGTTGACGATGGCCAACAGTAAAGCCGAAATATTTGCGTTGCTCATAAATGAAACAGACACTGCACGCTTCCTTGTTCACAGCTCTAACAAGAATGGACCACACACATCTATACTGGCATATCTCGCGTTGTCCCCACATCGCTTGTGAGAAAGCATCAAAATATCAAATATCATGTGCCCGCCAAGTACAAGTACCTGCGTGGTACCGAAAGCCAATCATACTCGTGGAAACGAGTACCAAAGTAAATAAAGTATTCACAACCGTAACACTTGGTCAATAATCTTTGAATATTTAGAGTGTTTATAGATTACCTTAAGAAAAAAAACATAATTCGTGAACAACACGCGCAAGTAAGACAATTTGACTGACAGTTCAACGGCGGGACCACCTTTCACTGGAGTGGTTTACACAGTACTATGAGTCGAAACGCTTCATTCTGACAGCGAAACTGTGTTGGCTATTCATAAGTTATATGCCCTATCAAAATTCATAAACGGGCATTTGCAAAAAAAAAATCGGGCAAGTGCCGCTACTCAAGGACACATCAAAAATGAAGGAGGCAACACTTTTAGCTAGAGCGTGCTGGAATCATCTACTTCTAGCCCAACGTCATCTCAACAAAAAAGGAAAACAAATATTTTGTCGTCATAAACCACTGGTCCAGCTAAAATGAAAAGGGCAGCTGCTAGCCAAGGAAACAGGTATGTGCCACTACGCGGCCTATCAGAACACTATCATCATCGTAAGCATGTGTGTACGACACATATATTCGCTTCAAGTCACTGAGGAAAAACATTCTTAAAGCGGCTTTTAATCGAATTAGATTTGATTTCATTATTTCTAATATTCTCTCCTCGGGATCCTTCTCATCAGGTCATTGTCATCGGGATATCTGTTTTGTTGTACAAAGATTCTTAATCGAATCAAGGCGGTTTTGATTGCAAATCTCTCAATTAGTATAATTTGATTTCTTCTAACCATTTTAAAATTCATTAGATTTGAAAGTAATATGTGATCCGCTATCTAAATAATCGTTTCTTGGCCAATCCCCCAGAGTGGGTGTGAGCCATTCGTTTAGGCCATCATCATCATCATTGTCATCATCATCATCATATTGCGTCTTAATAAGGGAGACGGAATCCGTTGGAGCAACAAATGGCTGCGAAGCGACGATGGTCAGCCGAATACCCCGAGTGAGGACAACAAGAGAATACCGTATGGAACGGGAATGGCACATGCGGCTGCGAGATGACCTCAAAGCGATGGAATGCCTACGCAAACGACATGGCCTTGTCGTGTCCGTGACAGCTTGTGGTTTAATTCGAACATCTCTGCGCTTGAAACAACGTAAAAACCATCGTCAAGCTTCCTCAATTAAAACTGTCGGGTCCGACGATGTTCAAAATTAAGGACTGTGGCACAATTGGCGTTACAAAACAAAAAAGTGCTGTGGAGAGAGAGAGAGAGAGAGAGAGAGAGAGAAAAAACTTTATTTGCGCATAACGCGGAGCATTCCAAATGGTCGGGCCCCTATTTCAGGGCTCCGCTGGCCCTAGCCATCATCTCTACCCGTTGGACCAGCCAGCGCTGATAAACAATGGCCGAGCTGGACAGCAGCGCCTCCCATTGTTCCTCTGTGTTGTTCATGTTGTGGTGTTCTTTATTGTGATGCGTACACTCCCACGTGATGTGAAACAGAGTTGGTGTGGCCCCACACTACGGACATATATTTTTGTATGCTGTGGGGTAGAATACATGCAGCCTGTGTAAGTTCGTGTATGTGTTTGTTTGGATTCTGCGTAATGCCACCGATTCCATTGCTGTAAGTTTCTTATGCGGTGCTGGATACACTTTTCTATTGTCCCTGTAATACTGAAGAATTGCACCAAAGTTAGGGTCTAGGGGCGGTGGATCCTCTATTGCAGTGTGCAAGGAAGCTCGGTAATCTGTGAAGCCTCGAGCCGCCTCATCCGCAAATTGGTTCCCGGTGACGCCCTCGTGCCCTGGCGCCCAGATAATGGTTTGGGTGTATTTAATTGGGAAGTCCTTGTGAGCTTTGGTTAGAATTTTGTACTTCCAAAGTGCTGTAACACTTTGGTCTTTCCTAAAGGACATAAAGGTGAGAGCATTCTCGCTTTCATCAGCCCTCCACGGAACCATTTCTGGAAGCTTCTTTTTCCGCGGGGAGTGTGGTCGTTCATGGGTGTTTTTGTTTGCCCGTAGTAAAACTTCCCAAAATCGCGTATACAACCAGCCGTACTTCTTCAGCCGGAAAAATAACGCACAAGTAAAGAATCGCGACGATGAAACTGTTTATTTCCACAATTGGCGATGAAGCAAGTTCACATTTCTGCGATTCGGAGCTCCAATATGCCATACAAAGAAGGTATCATTCAGGAGAACTTTGGCAACAACTTTTACAACCAGAACTGGTGCTGCTTAACGATTCGCTCCAGACGAGTATCATCGCGAAATCATTCGCATCGTTTCCCACATTGCAAAGCCTGAGTAATTACCCAAACAGACGACCAGCAGTATTGCTGGTGCCAGATACATAGATATAACACAGAACGCACAAGTGATGCCCACCTTTTATTAATGAGAACTAACACACCGTGATGCAGAAAAAAGTCACAGCATATCCACGGACTAAATGATGATGGGTAAACTGGTGTGCGCACAAAAAACAGAACAAACGACAGCAGAGAAGAGACAGGGACAAGCGCAGATCGATTTCTGCGCTTGTCCCTGTCTCTTCTCTGCTGTCGTTTGTTCTGTTTTTTGTGCGCACACCAGTTTACCCAGTATTATGAACCAACTCGCCCAGCTACAAGTTTTATTAAATGATGATGAGTGGGGCGAAGCGCCTGTTTGTCCGCTCGTGCATCCATCCGTCCATCCAACCGCGGGTCGATCTGTCCATCTGTGCGTATGTCCGTCTGTACATCCGCGCGTCTAGTGAACACTGCAAGTACCACGAACTCGCATCTTTTCATCACATATTATTTATATATAAGTACCGCCATTTAGCGGACATTTTAAGAACTAAACAAGAGGTGGCTACTTACTACATACATCTATAGGACGCACGACCCAGGGCTTGGGAACCTTAGACATTCCAAGAAATAAAGGAGAGGTGGCTACCTACTACATACATCGAGGACGCACGACCCACGGCTTAAGGAGCTTCGCCCCTATAAGCCTATTTCCTGTGGCACATGCCAGAGCGGGTATGTGCCACAGGAAATAGGCTTATAGGGGCGAAGCTCCTTAAGCCGTGGGTCGTGCGTCCTCGATGTATGTAGTAGGTAGCCACCTCTAAGCTTCTTTCCTGTGGCACATACCCGCTCTCTCAGGTATGTGCCACCGGCGGTTACGAACAATAACGGGACGAACGGGTGACGCGATAAGGAGCTTCGACCCTAACAAAGCATGGGAGATGTTATTAGAAGTAATTGTATTGTAATCGCTCTTGACAGGGGATCGCTCATACCCCATAAAGTAGACGGAGCGATGACCGCCCCTGTGGCTCTAGTAGAGCATCAGACGCGTTATTCGAAGGTCGCACGTTTGCTCCCTTGTCGGCGGAAACTTCTCTTTTCGCCCCCTTTTCTTTATTCCCATTTACAACACAATTATTACTAATATTATTCTCTATACTTTCCTTAGCATCGTTATCTGTTAGTTTTTGTTATTACAAAGTCTAAAAAA